GAGGATTCCATGCAGTCGATTTATCTGTGTTTCAAGTTTTGCTTAAGGTAAGCAGTAAATATTAGGTAATGTAAAGCATGATGGTTTTTAATCGATAAGTTTTGGAGGCGAAAAGAGCAGGATGATGCTTATTTTGTCCCCGCAGTGATCAATTTTTACTTCTCTCAAAAGTACAGTAATATAAACTTACCAAATTGTTGAAAATGGTTCATTTTTGCTCTAAATTTTTTACATAATAGCAGCTTTCCGTGGAAATCTTTATTGAAGAAGATCTTTGAGCCGTTTCCGACAAAATTTGCAGGTATGCGAATGACGATTCTAGCTGAGGGTGCTTTGGTCGTTGCCAAGGCTACTGCGATTAAAGTGAGCACCAGAAAAGCTGTTCGTACTGATACCAAGCTCGACGACTGGGTAGGTGGAGTTCTTGTTCGTCGAGGAGCTTTTGAGTCATGGCTTTTCCCTGGAAGGCGTCAGTAAAAGACTCAATATTCTACTTAAAGATGAAACAATTTAATGTAATAAGAAAAAATCCAAGTCCCATGTGGGACTTGGATTTTTTTTTAATATTGTACATGACCCTGTCACTTAAGACTTGGCTAACATGTCATTCAGTTTATAACATGGTGAAGTTATGTGGTAACATGCTAGTATAGCCGACATTCACCGTCCTCTAAGCCACATGGAAAAGCAAATGTGATTGTTAACAACCTAATACTTGTGAGTCCTGTTAACATTGATCCGACGGCATGTGTAAGCAAACATCATGCTGACACTTATTTTATTTCACCTCAGAATTACCTTCTTTTTGAAGTTGTCTTACACTCTCTACAGTATCTGAGACTTCAATTTTCCCGGCTTTTCCACCATCTTCGTCAACTGGCTGTGGCCCTTCGAAAGCAGCAATTTTTCCTTCAATAAAGGAAAACACCGGTTTGTGAAATAAGGTTTTATTCAAAAAGCTATTTGTTTTGAACTTTCTCCGCCATTGCTTAAAAATGCAACCCTCAAATCAGTGGAACGAAGCAATATCTACAAGAACTCACTTTCCATCCAGGGACTTCGATTTATTAATTGTCTGTAGGCTTTGCCGTCTTGTTGGTCGAACATCCTTTCTTCTTTCTTTGTAGCTTCAAACACTGCAAGTTTTTCTTGTAAGAGGAAGGGAAAACATACGCTCATGAGGCTGAGGCTAGCTGCTGCTTATTTACCAATTTATTCATGACCTTATTCATTTCTTTTTAAATTTGACTGGTGATAGGATTACTTGTCACTTTTACTTCAAATGATTTTCCGAAGATGTCGAACTACTACGTACCATATCTAATATAGTTCTACATTCAGTCGAGTCCACTGTTCATTAAGAAGAAGCAAGGTGTATACCTGCTACAACTGTTCCACGGTTTCTCATCTCAAATTCCTCACCACGTTCTTTTCCTGTCAAAGTACACTGTCGCTTTATTTTTCTCCTTTTGAACACACAAACAATGAATACGATAACAACGGCTATTAGAAAGATTCCGACCCCAGCGACAAGACCCCCTACCATTGACCAGTTTTCTGTTGTCTCACGCAAAACGAACTGCAAGAAAAAGAGAACCTGTCAGTGTTGTGACAAGTAAAATGCAAGAATGTAATAATTTTGGGGAAATATATTGACTATATTAGGCAGGGGGAAATATTTCCAAATACGGCTTTACAATTGCAAGGGGACCTGGCGCTTGCAGCAACAACCAACTCCTAGAAACAGTCGGAAATTTACATGAAAGCAGTCGTGTGAAGTAGATAGGAAATAGTTCGACATCTCGTCCACCGCATCGATCATGCTACGACTTATATATCTACAGTTTCATGAATCATTCAAATGCTCAGTGCGCTCGACAGGAATTGGAAAATTTCTAAAAAGGCCCATGTAATAAACTAAATTAATGTTAGTGTGCCTCTTGATTTGAATTCACAAAAGATCGATATGAGAGAAGTTTCCAATTGAAGATAATTTGGGATTGCTTTGGCGTCACTTTAATTCTCTTTGTTATTGGTCCAGAAAACCCAGGCGATTTCCTCAACCACTGATTGAATCATGTTCAAGACTAAAACCAAAACTACGACTTAGACACAAACGTTTTCCCGCGCTTTTTTTTTGAGATATACAAGTTTGGTTGGCTCCTAGTGATGTTTTCCTTTCTTCCAATTGGTTTTTGTGTTTTCTATGATTTTGGTTTTGGTGAGTCACGATACTGCAATGAAAAAGTGGTCAAATTTAAATCAATAGCTAGCTTACCACTTGTATGTTAACAATATCCTCTTTATGAAGAACATCGTACTGAATTCTTAAACGTTCCAAATCTTTGTCCTCTCCAGAAACGTAAATCTCTAAAGAAGCATTCTGACTATCTTGAAATTCTATGTCACCCTGGAATCCAAAAGTTCAGAATCTATTATGGCGCAAAAACAGTTCTCTTTGTCTGTTTGTCCTGGTATGTTTGTATGTTTTTTTTTTTCGCTTTGCTTTTCTTCTGCTTTTTTCATCTCTGAAGTACCATTCTCTTTTGATAAAAGTGCTTTAATTCAATCCTTACTTTTAAAATTAGTGTAATCGACTTACCTCTAAGTTATTTCTCACGTAGAACGCTTTATGTTCGCTTACATTTACACTCGCTAGAAAGTTTTCCACTTGAATCACTTTTCCGCTTTTGGCTGAAGAGTGGTTGACTAGTGGTGCAATGGAACAGTACAGAAACAGGAACCACCTAAACGAAATCGAAACAAAATATCATGTAAACAATGATTACTAATGCTTGCCACACAAGCCTAAACCCTGCTATCAAGCCGTGATTAATAAATTGAACATTACTGAACGATGTCTACGGCTCGCAACATGGCTGATTTACGACAGCTAAAATAAACGAAAGTCTCTACGTTTTCAATTTGAATTAAATAGACCAGTTTGTGGCTTCTTTTGGGGGTCACCAATTAAATATTTCGAGGATTAAATTCTTCGTTAGGATGCTGCGTTAACATGAGAGTACAGGCAGACGGTGTAGCCGGTCACGCGAGTCAAAAACAAAAAAACACAAACAGAAACAAACAAACCAAAACAAAACAAAAACTTTTTGCAAATGCATTATGTCTCATATTTCAGACGGTCCCTGCAAATGTCTTGTTTTCGCCCATTTCTTTAAACTCGCGTAAAGGATTCTATTGGAAAAGAGCGAAAACTGTAGGCGCATTTTGTGCCCATATTTTCTTATCAATCCGACGAGAACAACACTGATGAACCTCCTGGCAAAGTTAACACGATCAACTGACCCTGCTTATGTACGTAATAACATTTCAGTTAACATCACCTGTTCATGATGGCATGGAATCTCTGAAGTTGTTGTCCTGCGATCTGATGTAGTTCTGCTATTGGCAAGATACTCACCACGTAAAGCGTAATTATATCTTAAAGACTTCCGAGTGCGACACCCCTCTCGACAACTCTGACGGATGATTAGTTATACCTTGTTAGGACAACAAAATAAGGTCATTAGATCATTTATCCTCAGATATTTTCGAGTAATAAATCGAGATCTTTCGTGATATCACATGCAAATTAGCGCAACCTTCTTTTAGGTTAAACATTTGGGATCTATACCTTTGATATAACATTATAATTAAATTAATTCTATCCTCGGATACCTTGAAACAAAACTGATCCTAAGTTAACATTTATCGTGAATTTGACATTACACTAGTGACGGACCTTGTACTTCCCGTCAACAGAAGGAAGTATCTTAAATAGACAGGGTTGAGGAAGTTGCCGGGGTGGAGAAATTTCAGCATGACCGGAAATGGAGATTTCTATTGTTATTGCAATCAATTTCGCGTGACATCTGCCCTCTTTAAATCTATTTCCTTTTTCGGCTTGCAAGGTTTCTTCGAATTCGTCATCTTCTCGTGACTTTATTATAACTTCCAGTTGCGGAAGACAGTAGATTTAGACTTCTTTAGACTTGGCATGATTACTAAAGAACCTTTGAATTGACCTCGTATGATATGTAGAGTGAAACGGGAATTATAGATTGACCTTGATAAATTAAACTTTCAGACAGATAATATTTCACAAAATAAAATTAAACTGTTAGTGTTATTATACGACCCATACTACCCATATCATTTCGAGAACAAAAAAGTAAAAAAAACAAAAAACAAAAAACAAGAGTTCGTGGAGCGAAATTCTCCACAAAGTTGTCGGAATTATGAAATGTGAATTCGAAACCTAACAACGTAACAAATCCTCAGAGAGCTGAGTTCTTGTGCAATCAGATGAGTGTGACACGAGATAAACAGTCCTCCTCCCACGCGCCTTTACTTGCACCAGTGGGTCAGTCTTCGCTTTTTAATAACTCTTCTTCCCATTCAAAATTTCTCCCTATACCCACTCAATAAGTAATGTAAATCACGTTTTTACAGGGTGGTACACTTAAGAATTTCCGGTCTGTAGTTTAGGCGAAGTTTTCTCTGCTAGACGATCAGCCTTCGAGAGTGACGAGTTACTGTTCTCCCACGCGCCGCTCAGGACGCACGTGAAACTTTATCGTGTCTCCGTCACGCTTGCCTCGCAATCAACGGGAAGTGTTAAAGCCAACCGAGTGTTTGGACATCAGGGGATAGCTTCAGTTTCACTGCCTACCTAATTTCATCTAATTTGAATGTTGGTTTCACGATCAAGATGCAAGTGTGAAACTGGATGTAAAGTGCGAAGATCTTGGCGCGCTGAAAATCAAAATTAAACAAAAACTTTAGACCTTTCCTTCCCTGGGTTTATACTTGACAACTAATTTCATCGGCCAATATAGGAAAATAACGAAAATAATAAATGTGAATCAATCAAAATGATCAAGTTTTCGAATCAATCAGTCAATTGTGCTGTTGTTCCCAGTCTACTGCGCGCGGAAGATAAAGATGACGTCAAAGCCGAAGTCCCAATCAAAACATCCGATACAAAAAAGCGGATTGATTTGAACCAAAGCATTCCACCATTTTATTTCTAAGCTGTGCATCATGGCCGTCGATCATAAAAAGTTCCAGTTTCCCAGCTTAACAACTGACGAGGCTGTAGCAAATTGCAAGTCAATGTTTGGATCACAAGTTTCATTAACTGCAGACGACTTTTTACGACCGCAGGTATCGTTTGTGTTGAAATTTTTCATACGTAAGTTTGTAATCGACAGTGAGAGCTCCAAAATTAGATTGATCAACAATTATTTTGCTTCTCCTGTTTTTTCCCTCAGATTTTTGAAGTGATAACTGAGAACCGGTTATCATCTAAGCTCTCAAATGAAATAATAATACCAACATTGCACAAAATCGATATACTTTTTTTATTTACCAAAATGTTTGTAAATAATTTATGCATTTTTTTATATTCAATTATCCACAAATGCAGACAAAATGTCCGAGCCCCATCGTGTAGCTGACTCCTCTTGTATCCAGTTCTGTTATGGGTCAGCTGAAATGATAGATCGAAATCGGGAAAAAGAATAGAATTTTGGTATTTCCTAGATAATGTAAGGTCGCATGTTGCTGAACAAGGATAACCGTAGCTGATGCACGTAAACAGAGCGATCCCGTTAAGTATTATTATGAATAATGTAGTTCTGTTGGTGATGCGAAAGTCTTCTGAATGTCTAGTTTCAGCAGATGAAACGTTTCTACATCGGAGTACTTACAAATTTTGGTGTTTGCCCAGAACAGCTTACGCAGGTATTGAATTATACTAAATGGTTTTTGCAAGCTTAAGTTGGAAGTTGAAAATAAATTAATAATAGAGCAGTCTTTGCAATATTGGTAAAACAATGCACATGGATGTTTAGTAATAGTATTGGTGACCACAAAGTGGGAATCGTAATTTGTTGATCACAAGTATGATTACAGGTAGAATTGGATGACACGAAGTACTGTTACCCATTAAAACTATGACAAACTTCAGGGTTCTACACTAACGCTAGCGAACTAGCCACAGACTAGCAGAAATTTAGTTTTAGCTTTTGGCTTTTTATTTCCACTAGCTAGTTTAGCTAGGAAACAAACATAAATTGTTGTAATAAAAGTTGTCAGTAGCCTCCTGGCTAGTATGGTAAAAAGTTAGTGTCAAGCCCTGAAAATTTGAGAAAGAAATTACCGGTAGACAAAAAAAAAAACAACAGCAGCAATTAACTTGACGGAATGAGCAACAACAGCACACACACAGGATGTATACTGTACACTTACGCAAACATGTAATATCAACTGTCCTATAATGCTGTCCAGTTACAAGCATGACTTGTACACTGTCCTATTAGTGCTCAGATCAGGCTGGTAATAATCAATCACGTTGAAGAATTTTGTTTTAGTTTTAATAAACCAAGATTAAGCACCCATAGTTCTCAGTTAACTCCATTAACAAAACTGCATGGCCATTGTTTATTAATAGCTTTTTTTAAAATATTTTGAATTACTCCTTTTTACAGCCACATTTCAAGTCCATGGACTCTTTTGAATTCCCAGAACTTCATGAAGAAAGTGCTCCATTGGTAATTTTAGCATTAGCCATGTAAGTATTAATTGGGACATTCCTTTTTTTTGCACCCTCTACCTCCCCCTGTTACATGGTATGAAAGGCCACATAGTGGCACTCTTTAAAATTGCATCTAGGGGATGCTGTAAGAGGAAACTGGAATTGTTACACTTGCCCCATATTCATCCCAAAATGTTCCCAAGATTGCAGTTTTCTTAAAGAAGAAGAACAATTTTTCAGAAAACTGATTTGAAAACCATGTCCTGAAGAACATATTTTTAACATCCCTATCAACCCCTATCCACAAAAATTTGAAATTTTACTTAGGCTAAACAGGGATAATTATGTTTTATTCTTTAGGCAGCGGTTCATGTTTGCTTGTGGAGTAGAAAACTTCACTATATTTGACATTGTTGCACCAAGTAAGTTCTTCATGTAGATATGTATGACTGTTCTCTTCGATAAAATGCCATGATTATTAGTTTTAAATCTGGGCCCAGTTGATCGAAGCCGATTAGTGCTAACCCAGGGTTAAATTATAATCCAGGTTTCTATATTCTCTGTTCAAAAGTTGTTTTGGGAAAATTTTCCCAATCCATTTTAGAGCATTTAATAATCAAATGTAGACAAATGGATTAATTTTCTTTCAAAGCTTTCAAATCTGATATCAAATTTCACAGTAACTGTGGATTATCTTAACCCATAAAGGGAGAAACTTTCGAAAGAAACTCTGGTGGTGCTGCATCAGTTGGGGTAACAAGGGAATTTGGCAATATCAACTATGTTGAAATAGTAAATTAGCCACCATAAAGAGTTAAAAAGCCCACGTTTTGAGTGTTAGCCCTTTGTCAGAGCTCTGACAAAGGGCTAGTGCCCGAGAGCTCTGACAAAGGGCTAACACTTGAAACATCAGCTTTTAACTCTTTACGGTGGCCAATTTACTATTTCAACTCAGTTGATACAACCAAATTACCTAAACCCACCTTTGAACAACCCAGTCCTGAAGTAGAATTAAATGTCCTTGGGTAAAGAACACTGTACATAGTGAATATCTACATTGTTTGATTGTTGTCATGGTATTGTAAAATTATTCAACTGATTACTTTCAGAACCAAAGCGTACTCTCCATTGTGTGAGGTAGGTAGTTCTTTCTTCTTGCATTTTACATCTTGCAAAGCAATTACCCCAGCCCTGCTTGTACCATCGCAAACAGCTATCTTAAGCTGATTGTTTTAAGCGTATTTTCAGTAAGAGAGTGTATAGGTCATACCTTTAGTACTTGTAAAAAATTTTCACATTTGTAACATGACTGTAAACTTACATATGATGCTGATGGTTCTTCAATTACTTAGTTTGCATTTCATCATGAAGCACACTGATAAACCTTGCTGCTTTGTTGTATCTCAGTGCCATTGTAAATTACACCAAATTCAAGGCATCAAGGGAGCATATTTATGAAAATGCTGTTGCAGAAGTGGTAAGAATCAATAAGTATACAGTTCTTAATTGTTAAAACATTTCATCCTGATGTTTCTTCAGAAAGGTATTATTTTATTAGTGTTTTTGTTTACAACATATTTTTCTTTCTGTCACCAGGGCTTGACACCAACTTTTCAACTTACTAGCAAAGTGGCTAGTGAAAACTTAGATGTTACAACAATTTCAGTTTGCTTACTAGCCAAACTGGCCAGTTGAAATCGAAAACCACCAGCCAAAACTGAATTTCTACTAGTCTGTGGCTAGTTGTTTATTGTTAGTGTCGAGCCCCGGTCACCTGATTAGCTTTATCCTCGAAGCACTATCACATTCCATAATTATTTCTGTTGTCCATGGTTGTCTGCATTTCAAAGTAAGACAATGTTTTTCCTCATAGTGCATGCAATTTCATTTTAGCGAATGCTTGAACAAATCAAAGATGCACGGGTTGTTAACATTCATTGACAAATCTTGTGGAAATGTTTTTTTTTTTAACTTTTTTAAATTTTAAGGATGCAGCTACTGAGCAGCAACGACATTTGCTCACAAGAAACGAGGAACTGAGGAAAAAGATTTCAGAGCTCAAGTAAGACAACATTTTTTTATGAAATAATTTGAATATATCAACAAAGTTGAAATGGTAAATTGGCCACCCTTATGATTATAAAAGCTGATGTTTCCAGCGTTAGCCCTTCGTCGGAGAGAAGCCACTTGTCTAGTGAGTTCAGAACTTTTGAGCCCTGTGAACTTTAATTTTTTTGTCTGTGATTTGTATACCACAGAGCAAAACAAGCTGAGGAGGAACAGCAAGTACAACAGGTGACATTATTTAAAAGTTATGGTTGAACTTTGCTTTGAAACTACTTCTGTTAAGATTTAATTTTTCTTTTTTGTTTGTAACTAGATCGGGAGTGAAGTGGAAGAGTTACAGAATGATGTCAGTGAACTGAATAAACAACAGGTATATCAAAAGTGAAATTTTATTGTTTCATTCTCAGTGTTCTCGTTTTCAGGCGATAACTGGTAAAATTTACTGCCTGTAGTGCCTCTCAAGTAAAGTGATTGCACTTCTGTTTTGGAAATTTCTTGTACTTGTGCTTAAAGTAAGGGAGAACTGCATTTCCATGTTAAGAAGAACTCCTCACTTTATGATAAAAATCACTGGTGCACTTTTTAACTACTGTGTTGCCTTTCCAAAAGGCCACTGAGGTGAAGAAATTTCAAAAACTGAAGACCAATAATGCAGAACTCTGTTCCAAAAAGGTAGGTTTTTATGATGCAAGATTTTGAAACCATGCACAAGGCTGTGCTCTAAGGAAAATTGAAAGGAGGCCCAGTGCTCTGAAACTGTGAAATCCAGGGTCCCCACCATATGCTTTTTATTGAAAAAACTAAACTTCCTGAGTCGCTCAAGAGCAAAAGTAAGGCGCCAGGGGCCACCGGGCGCTGTTAGACCACAGCCTTGATGTAGGTACATTGTACGGTATGTCCTGTGTATTGAATTGTGCTACATATTTTGTTTTTAACACTCTATGAAACATTAACATATTAACTGTACCTGGAGTGTATGAAGTTAACCAGGGCTGTAAGTCCTAAGAGTGACCAAGATAATTATCATTTTCTCCTTACAATATTAACAGTTAATGATATCATGCACACAAGCAATGAAAATTAAAGAAAGTATCAATTAGGAGATTATCAGTTGATCCAATACCTAATTCTCAAACAAACATGATAAGTACTGTATGGCAGACTGATAGCAAAGTGAATTACACACTACATGTACTAATGAGATCTTGGGAGGTAAAAGAAGAGGTTAAAGAACATGTAATTATACTTAATATAAATTATTTTCCCTTTTTCGCTGTACTTTACCAAAATCCTTGAATAAGGAAAAACTTTTTAGGCAAGCTATTTAATTATTTGAAATAGATCTACTTTTAATTAGCTACATCATTTACATTAACGAGTTGCAAACTTGTATCAGTTGATTCTCCTAGGGTTTCAATTACATGTAGAAAATTTGTATTATTATAATAATGTTAACATTTAATTGTGCTTTTCCAAACTGTTTTCAGGCTGAGGGAAAAGCGCTAATAGCAGCTCTAAAGCAAGACACGGATAATCTTGCAGCCAAGATAGTCCAGTCACCTGAGAGATTTAAAGGGGTAACATGAACTTTAAAATAGTTTCATATTTTTCGACAGGTTCATTTTACTTTGCACTTTCAGTAATTTTATGACCAACACATGAATTTCCTATCATTTCTGGTTTTTTTTTTTTTTTTTTTTTTTTTTTTTCTCGCTAGGAGTTGGCTCGTCTGACAATTGCATTGCAGTCTGTGAGAGAGGCCAGGGATGAAAGAAGTGCTAGACTACAAGAGATTTGCACACAGCAAGATAGCAACTTGCAGTATACAGAGGTCAGTTCTATCTTTACCACTCTTTTGACTCATCAGTCCTTATTGCCATCATACGACCCTTTATACATACCTGTAAAGAAATACTTAATAATTATGTAACTGCCCTCGCTACTTACAACGTACTGTCATTGTCCTAGTACTTTTCCATTTAATTTGGTTAAGAAGGGTTGCTCATTTTAAATTTGGGGTGATAAGAGTAGCATAGGAGGGTGATTAATTGAGATTTGGAGGAGATGTGTAGGCAAGCACTAATTTTTCTGCCTTTGTGGCAAGGGTCTTTCAAGTAAATGCTCTCTTTTTCATTTCCCTTCAATGTCCAACAGGATGGACAGACAGCCATAAAAATGATCAGTGGGATTGGTGGTGACATGGATAAACTGCGGTAAATAAATTGTTCTTCTTCTTTACTTCTACATGGTATATACATTAATTTTGCATAATTATTATTTTCTGATCTTGTAGCCTGTTGTGCATACAGATATTCTTGACTTGCATGGCTTGTTTTTGTTTTGGCAGTGAGTTGACCTCCAAGCTTGAGGAACTTCAAGATAAGAACATCAGCCAAAAAGAGTTGCTGAGAGATTTGACAGCCAAGATTGAGGTAAAGCATTTACAGCTAGTGACTTCCTATAATTGAGTGAATGGAAAATCGATATTTCATCTCTTAGTTGTAGCCTAAGTGCGAAATGAGTGAATGAATTCCAGGACAAGGCTGTGCTTTAGCAGCGCCCAGTGACCCCTGGTGCCTTACTTTTGCTCTTGGGCGACTCAGAAATTTTAGTTTTTTCATACAAAGCATAATTATGCTGGGCATTCTGGATTTCACAGTTTCAGAGCACTGGGCTCCATTCAATTTTCCTTAGAGGACAGCCTTGCAGGACAATACTATTTTCTTGTTCTTTTGTTTTTTTCACATAGAAATAATTATTGTGCCTGTCATTTTGTTGTTGTGAATTTTGCTTGAATTTTTTTTTTTTTTATTATTATTATTTTCTTAGATCATCATGTACTCTAGAGAAAAAAAAAGTTAAAATCCCAGGGACAAACAATGAAAAAATGTAAATATGCATTTAGGTTTTCTAATGCAATTTTAATGTTTCAGCAACTACGCCGACAGCTAGCTTCCAAACAGGAGAAGCTTTCAAGACTGATGCGGCAGCATGATAAGAAGATTACTGCTACACATGATGCTAATGGTCAGATAAAAAGGTAAAAACTTTAAAAAATTCCATTGTTTTTCGATGAAGACATTGCTACTGACAGTGTTGTTTTGTTTTTTCCGATGGACCGTAGTTCCATGCAGTAAGACACTCACTATGTTTTTATCTTTTACATTGAATTTATATTTTCAAGGGAACAAGCGTACTTAGAAAAGAAATTAGCAGAAAAGACAGAATACTTGGAAGGACTTGACAACCAGATAAACAACCTAATACAAATGGTTAGTGTTTTCACTTTTTACATATGTATTCAAGTTCAACCAAAACACTCAACTATGATTTTATACGGTGACATAAACCTGCAATTGATGGTCATGCAAATGCTCTTTTAAAAATTCCTAAGGTCAAGGAACAGGAAGATCTTCATGAACAAGACATGAACAAGCTACGCACAGCATACCAACAGTTGTTAGCACAGGTATGTCATTACGTGTACGTCATTACATGTACGTCATTACGTGTACGTCATTACGTGTACATGTCAACCATTTAGTACAGTGATCCTATCTGTACTTCTCCTTCTCGGCTGATATTCATTTCCTTGCTAATCTGTTGAGAGAATCATAAAGTTCGATCAAAGGTGAAGTACCGTGAATGCTCCAGAATTCATGCACATTTGTATTTTCCATCTCCAGTATAAAACAACCAGAATATAAACTCGAGATTTCTACTGCGTGATAATAGATGATGGCAAAGCTAAAGTCAACTTCAGGTGTAATTTTGGTTTAACAACTGAGTTGATAATGTAAATTTGCCAGCGTTAAGAATTTTTAAGCTGATGTTTCGAGCGTTAGCCCTTCGTCAGAGCGAATGGGTAACTGACAAAGCTCAAAAAACCCATTTACCTTACTTACCTGTCCAACTTACAGATGTTCAAGTAACATCATGACATCCTCGTGTTTTTTTCTCTCTTTTGTTCTCAAATGCATTTTGTGCTAGACTACTCCCCTGAGTCGCTACTTGTCGACAGCGAGTGACAGCGTCAGACTGCAGCACTTATGATAGAATGCTATGGAATTTATACAAATACAATCTAAATATGAAAAGAATGACCCTCGCTGAATTCTGAGATCCCAAAGAGGTTACCAGCTTTTCGAAAATTGTCGTCAAATGTGGTAAAAATTATCCACCGATGCCACCAGTTTGAATCTTGCTCAGCAACTTGGCTGCTTCGATGTGACGGAGAAAAATCTCACTAGTCTTTTTCTCATCTCCGTGTTTGAGTGAGACTTCACACAAAATTAAGAGGCTGGAATGTTGGCATGTCCACAATATGTGATGAAATCCCGACTTTTAAGAAATGAAATAGAATGGGCATTTTTTGATACCATTTTTAAGGAAGTAAACGTAAGTTTGTAGTGCTATAAATCGGTTCATCTTAAAATAAAGAGATTATTTTGAGCCACCAGAAGTTCTGTTGCTATCTCATAACATTGTTTATCAAACTTGTTTTCAGCTTGAAAGCTACCACCAAGGACTCAATAGAGGCTGGGACAAAGTGATAAAAGCCAGTAGCAGATAAGCTTTACAGCAATGATCTGTTCAAAAAAAGCGCTAATCTATGAAGTTTGAATTGTTTCAAATCTTTTTAAAACATCGTATTATTAGTTGTACACGGCTAGTGATGGTGTTGGAATGCACATGCCCAGACCAGCTTAATTCGAAGAACTGTGTCGCTAGTAAAGAATGCAAACAGTGCAACATTAGAATCACAGTCGCGTAAGGAATGTGGTGCTATAAAGAAAGTGCTACAATGCATAGTTTCATGATTATTGTTGTTCACAGGACCACTTGTACATTTATAGGAACGTCTTTTCCGCAAATCATAGCTGAGAAAAAGTGCAGTGTTTTGGACACAAATTCAGCTATTCTCTTCAGTCTGAAGGTGTTATGTAATATCTCTGTAGATCTACATGTATTAGACTTCGGATTTATGTAACATATGAAAAGTTTGAAATACATTGAGTTCAGCAACTTCTCTTTGAGCTGATTTTTAATGATTTTGGTCCCGGTCAAACAACTAGTAACGCATTTCTTATGTTGTTGCCTCTTAGCCTTAGTTATTATTTTTTTAAACCAAGCAATGTAAAAGAATGATTACTTGGTTACCCCACTTTCTTTTGTAAATATCGAGTTTTAGCCAAGTGCCGACTAGACGACTAGAAGATTCATTAACAGTTCAAAAAATTAGCGCTGAAAAGCAGGTCTCTTTGAAACTTAATTAGCAAGTTCAGGGTTCTGTAATAGCAAGGCTCCATCTCACATGAAAGATTGCGTGCAGTATTGACTCCTGACGTACCGCGCAGTACGTTTCATTCAAGGGTCCATAATGCAATAGTTGCTAACCTTATTCAATTGATGCGTGGCAGGCGAAGGAAAGAGTTCCGTATGAAATTGCTCCTTTTGAGGATACCATCTCCAAGCATTGGTAAAGAGGACACTGCTCTGGTAAGTATCGGAAAAATTGTTTTTAATTTGTTGTCCACGTTAATGTTAACTTGACGTCTCATTTTGTCCTTTCTTGGACGCTAATTACTTCTAGAAAGTGCGAAATGCGCAGTAGTCTCAAAAAAGGCGGAATCAGTCTTTCTAAAATGGATCCCAGAATGCGCGTCATTTTTCTTGACAAACATGCGAAGAACCAATTGGAAACGAAGAATACTAATATGATTACAACGATGCTAATGATGTAAAGATTCCGAGTGAAATGTTTTTCGTCGCGTCTACGAAACACTGTTCGCGTAACTTGCGAAAAACGACGTTTGTTTTCCTTTGCTCAAAAGGCATGAAATTTAATTTGCTAAGATTGAAGGCCGCGTTCGACAGTCGCACGAAATGTTGCGTGTGGCGCGCACGGTGAGCGCGGTGAAAGAACGTTGTGTCAAGAGGTGCAGAGGAAGAACGCTATTTTTCTTATACAAGATTGTGCAATTGTGCATTGTAATTTTACGGGTAGCCAGCTATTCGAAACAAAAAGTAGTAACAAGAAATTTGGTCAAAAGTGCAATGCTTGTCTTGGTTTTTGTACTCAATTAAAGCTGTTGCAAATATCTTATTGGTTTTCCGCGCATTTATTTGCTTCACGATTGGTGCGAGAATGTCAAATTACGTAACTATTTGGTATAATTTTGGACTGTCTGTAATATCACAGGTAGCCCGAACAAGTACATTGAGTCCTTGTTATATGTTTGTGTGGCGCAACAGGTGAAATAGAAGGATTTCAAGGGATGTTAACAGGCGCATTCTTGACCCAAATTCTGAACGAGTTTTTTGATCAAAACAAACTTGCCAAGCCCACTGACCCTACCTTGGGAAATAATTTCACAGAGGGAACTACAGGAGGACAAAAATCGAACTAAACGAACGTAAACCAACCTTGGAAACTGGCAAGATTCAGAGAAAAGACACCTGTTCATTTCTATTAAATCGTAGTTCAGATATTTGGATTTAAAATGCGACCGTTCGTTCCCATTCCAATGCTATCATTTCGCTAAATGTAAGATATAAAAATGTATATAGAGAGGTTTATCAGTTGTGCGAGCTAATGCAAACTATGGTAATAAACCTGTATTTTATTATTTTCATTGTTTTTTTTCCTTTATTTGTTAAATCTAAAGATGTTTTCGAGGACCTTTTTCTTAAAGGTGAAACTGATAAGACTAACTGCCCTTTTGCAAAAAACTTCAGAAACAAATCGTGCACGAAGTTTCGTAAATAATCGATGAAGAAAATTACTCGCCTAATCACTACATAATCGCATTTTCATCAAATAGGAGCAATTCATCTTATTACATTCAACTTTATAATTGCTGTTAAGCAACATTATTATAGCGTTTGCGATGCGAGATGAAGTTCGTCGTTGGCAAATAAGATTAGTCGACAAGTACATTCAAGAGCTAATCGGATGATAACACAAAACCGTTGCTCTTAGTTACATACCATTCTTATGACGTACTCCAGTGTGCTATATAACAGCTGTTAAGAGCACTCTAAAGATTAATTATACATCAAGTCAGCAGGACTTAAAACTTGAAGAACTTTTGGAATTCGTTTTTGTCATCTCAGCTTCCTTCGCAGGAAGCGCAAGGTAAGTTTTGAACTGCCGAGTTTTCGCTGATTTTCCCGATAAGGATAGAAATTCTATAGGAACTTGAAAACTATTTGTCACAAAATCAGGAAAAATGTAATCTCTTTGCAGTCTTCGAAAACTATATGACGATAAACACTTCCCATAATCACCTTCATATACCACGAAAAGGGAATACTGAGATTTTCACCCTTCTGCAAACATGAAATCGGGTAACAGCCATCCAAATATTTAGTTCTAACCTCGATGAAAAATCTTTGAGTTCTGTAACAAACTCGGCGTAAGTTGCGCGAAAAAATGGCAGCAACACCGAAAAAAAGGCAAGAAATAGGGCGAGGTGAATGAGTTATTGACAGGATCTTGTGTGGCAAATGGAAATTTGATGATATCAAGGGCAACATAAACTGTTCATAATAGATTAATTACAGTATTTTTGAAAAAAAAAAAAAATGACCGACGTTTGTTCAATATAGCTTAGATGCCTTTCAGCCGTAGAATTTGAAAGCACCAATAGAAAATGACGAGAAGAAATCGAAAACGAAATCTTTCATGCACGGGTTTATTTTGATTGGACGCGCTTGTTAGCTGACTAGGTGAAGAGCAACAAGACTATTTTCAAACCACAGCAGTTGAATGTCAGGTGTCAGTAACAAAAACACTGGTACATTGGAAAACCATGCATAGATTTAATCATTTGTACGAGTCAGATAATGCTCGTGAGCATCCTATGGTTAAAATACTTTACGCTCTCTACAGCCTATTAGCGACTTCGCGAGAAAAAAAACCGTTGAGCGAGTTTTTAATAAAGACTCTCAGACTAGTAATGTTTTTGTCTGGCACAAGGAAAACATCATGAAGTAACGGATTAAAGCTTCGTTAATGAGAAAATACGCAAAGCTTCTGTATTTTATTAGGTTTAGAATACTATATCGAACTAAAAGAAAAATATAAGTTTCTCTTGGAACGTTTGCTTCCAGACTGATCGCCGAACTCGACACAAAATGTTTGTTTGGTTTCAAAGGATGATAAAAAAAAAATAGAGCACTTTCTTCTTCAATTACCCTGACCTATGACTTGTTTTTGAAAGAGAAATAAAAAGAAGTGCAATCACGGTTTTATGGTAATTTCTTTTTTGCTCTGCATATAATGTGAATAGTTGGATCGACAAGTAGATTGAAAAAGCTGTTCAGGTCTCTCTTGATTTCCGAGCTTTTTAATCAGTTAATACATTGGGGTGTTTCTGATACTCTCTCAGTTCTGCGGGTTGTGCGACTGCCAAGTGAATTCACGATACTTAAGACTGAGGAATGTAGAGGAAAAGGAATTTCCTCACCTCAATACAATAGCCAATCAACAGTAGTTCCCGCACCTTAGTAAGGAAACCGTTGTTTTTGTTTTGGTTTTTTTATTGAAGTCGACATGGCTCGTTCGTTTCAATCACATGCTTACTAATTTCAATTTTTGTTAAATCAATTTACTTCTAAGTTTGTTGCGACAAACTGTTTCACGGGTTGGATTGTGCTAAACTTCCACCCATCCGATCTTTTCCGCACTTCATTCAGCGCTCATTCAGGTCTTGTTTTCTTCGTGATAACGTTACAACTCGAAACTTTCATAAAAATTAAAATAAAGTAAATACTCGCAGGGAATAAGCGCATTCCATTTTTCTTCAATGCAAAGATAAAGATAACTCTTAACCTGAACCTGTCCATTCTGTCCTTTCCGTCTATCAGCGATGGCTTTCTGCACATTTCGGACGCAAGTTGTTTGGGCAAAAGTGCTTCAATAGGTCCCTTCACGCGGATGGGAAATTTGTGGCTGCAGCTAAATTTTATGCATACTAGGTGAAACCTAAGGCCTCTTCTAGACCCTGTTACTACAAAGCGGGCTCCAGGGCACACACCGGTGAAAGAACAATTTGTTACGGTGCAGAACTCGAGAACGTACATTAGGCTTAAGTAAACACGCTACTGATTGAACAGGAAAGACGTCAAAAAGTGCATACGCTTAAACCTCTGCGCAGCTAGGTCGAATCGAAAAGAGCACAGGTCTTTTGGAAAGAAAAAGTGAAGAACTGTTATAACAAGGTAATGTTGTGATTGCCTGAAAACGCACATCCTTTTTTAATACATGATAGTTGCAAAGTTTTAAAGTGCAGGTTGCCGTAACTAAAGTTATTAATTTACTATTGTTTTCAAATTTGCTTTGCTTTTATTTCATATAAGTGACCGTTTCAAGATTCTGTTAAGCAAGAAATACCAGTATTAGTGACTAACTACTTTCTTTTGTCCAGTTGATGAGTGGAATTGTGAGCAGATGTCTTTATTCGTGTTTTTTTTTTTTTTTTCAGAGGATTTGATGATGCTTTCGAGGACAGGACTACAGAGCTATGCAGTCCAATCGGTCAAAGGAAAAGCTTTTCTTTTTTTGCTACTCAGTTTTCTTGCGGCAAAAGGACATTGTAAGTATCATCTGTTTTTTCTCGTCTTCTACTTTTTAGGGGGGGAATAGAAAGTGGTACAGGACGAAGTATGTATGCGGGATATAGAAGACGAACGCCACAAAGAGCAGGTTTGCTCGAGCCTTACCACTCCCATAGCAAAATCAAACGTAAACAAATCTTCACAAAAGAGCGAATGCTTTGGCTTAACGTGCATGTCCAAATAGACAATAAATGATGGTTTAGCAAAAAGCAATACAGCAGCTTCATTGAGAACGACACATTTTTATTTAGAACCGTTCGTTTAACTGAAGTTTATGCCCAGTATTGAACTGGTTGAGTATACAAACCCTTCTTCTTTAGCATTTCAGCATCGCCGTAGCAAACAGGATCTTAATGTTTTGGTTTTCGAAATTAGCCTTACATGATTTCAAGTCATTTTATTTTTTCGGAAAGTAAGCTGAGGTGAGTACCTCTTGCTTGAATGTTTGGACTAAGACATCAATCGTGAGAAGAGAGAGGGTGTGTGGTTCACTGGTCTCCTAAACATGAATAGGTATATGTAAACTAGGGCACAACACTTTATTTAGGGGTTGAGATTTTATGATTTATTAATTTACAAGCCCTCTAAATTCAAATCTTTTTAGCGCATACAGTTTCTTTGGGGTGTAGGGTACCATTTGCGAATCAGCCTAGAAACGAAAACTTGTGTATTTTTTCAGTCTTCCAGAAATATCTGCAAATAAGGCTAATTGGAACCTTTGTGTTCGCTAACCGACGATCGAAAAGTATGTTTACGATTGTGTTGATGTCGGCAACATGTATTGTTTTGTTGTTGACTTTAAAAAGCAGCGAGTTTTCTAGTAAATAGCTGTCTAGCCTTTTATTTACTCGTTCTATTTTTGTATGGTTTGTATGAGGCCAATTTCGTCTTGCGTTTGTTAGACAGGTTGTTGCATGTTCCGTTATCACTGACGTAAAACGTGTTGATTTTCTTTTGTTTGTTTCTTTTGCTTAATGAGCTGAAATATGTTCAATTTTGTTCTCGAACAGTCTACGCCAAAATAGCTTAACTACCGTAAAATGCTTTTTTGTTTCCTACGCTCTAACGGGGGACTGACGCTCGAAATGTCAGCTTCAGAAACTCTTTTCTCAGTTAAGAAGACAATTATCTTATGATGTTCGCCAAAGCATCAGCGCGGTTTCCTTAGAATCTTATTCCATTTATTTCTGGTTATGATTTGTTTTCGCTTTTTGATTCTATCCGGTTCTCTATGACCTTGCCATCGGAGCGACTGTAGGGTCTGGCGATTGTGCCTAGGGTTTGAAAATAAAGTATATATAAGTTGTAGTTCAATTTTATCCTTGGTTCAAATTCTATTTTCCTTTGTTTCAAACTCATTATCATACATTAACATGACCGAGAACAAAGGAAAATAAAATTTGAACCAAGGATGAAATTGAACTACAACATATATATAAGAAAATGTAAAATTTTGACTTTCGTAAAACAGTGCTCAATACATAGGAGTAGAGCGATGGATATATTGTGGGGGAAAAAAGTAACAAAATACTACAAGTTCATCCTTACAAGCCTGTTTTCCCTGATAAATGGTAAAGTCTGTTTACGAGCCTAGTGGCCCATCAGGCTGGTGCTTAACTCCGGTTTCTGTAGTATGGAGCGACTAGAAGTATTTCTACCCCCCCTGCATGGGATGCCAGTCCATCGCAGGTTACCCCCCAGCATTAAATTTTCCGGTACCCATTTATACACCTGGGTGAACAGAGGCGCTGTGAGAGTAAAGTGTCTTGCCTAAGAACACAACACAATGTCCCGGCCGAGGCTCGAACCCGGACCACTCGATCCGGAGTCGAGCGCACCAACCATGAGGCCACCGCGCCTCCACAAAAGTAACGAAAAACTACAAGTTCATCCCTAAAAGCCTGTTTTCCCTGATATATATGTATTAATAGTTAAGTTGTTGGGTAATGTTAATCGGAGAGCAAGGTAGAGCAGGAAAAGACGGTGAACGCATGCTAACTCTTTGAAAGTACTTCATTTAAATGGCTTTATGGGTACGTTTCATCCTATTTTTCACTCGAGAGAAGTCCTTAATTTTTTTTAATCTTCACCTGGGAGCAATTTATGTTCGTCTGGAGACCATCATTAAGTGTTCAGAAATAAGTTCCTAAGTAATATTTCAATAAACTTACATTTATGTTGCTTAATAGCAATTTTCGCTTGAGAATTGAAGGTAATTTTGGATTACTTAAGTTTTAACTTTACGTCGCTCTGTGATTGGTCCAGAATACCCGCGTTAGCCTCCCAGCCAATCGGATTCAAAACTGAGAGCATTTGCCTCGAATTATAACTCACCCGCGTTTTCCTCAGCTTCTTGCAGTTATCCTGTTTTTACTGTAGTTAGATCTCATTGGTTTATGATGATGCAAGAGGTTATGGATGGTGTTAATCTTGTTCTAACTAATCGCTGTGATAATTTTTGTTTTGGTTTCTTCGACGCTCAACTGAAAACTGCCCCGTAAATTGTTAACTGACCAATTGGTGTGTTTGTTCGTTTTCAATAGCGGCAGCAATCGCGAGGACAAGACGTAGTCTTTCGCTGAATAACTCCTTTCAGATTTCCATCCAATTGTCTCAAACCCCATGGTCCGAAGATTTCTTCAATAACAGGAGTACCGAGTATATTTCCTTGGCAACAAACCTAGAGACAGCGGTTCTTGATGTCGTTAAAAAGGTCGGGAATGGACAGGTTAAAGTCCTGGAATTCAAACCAGGAAGTGTCATCGCTGTAATCAAAATAACCGCATCGAGTTCAGATGAAAAAGCCATGAAGACCCAACTTGAGTCAGAGATGAAAGACAGACAGCTTGGAGGATATTCTGTGGATCCTATTCTTTATTCAGGAAGATTCTTTGAAGTCATTCTCAAAATGAAATTCCCTTGTAATGAGTCTTTACCAGACAAAGGGTTTCTTCAAAAAGATGAACTTATGAAAACCATTAACAGCGTGATGTCTGGTAACGCTGGCTTTCTCAATGCCACCATCTATAGTATCGAGTGCTCTCAGGCAGACAACATCACCTTGGTAACTACACGAGTTCAGATAAAGGATTCGTCGGCAACCAATCCATTTAAAGAGTTAAGTAGTTTGAAAACTCAAGTTGACACTGGTAAGCTCGGCAGCTTTTCTGTGATTCCTGAATGGAGATCCTACATCCCTGGAGAAAAAGTATTCTACGTGAGTGTTGAGTTACAGACTGCTTCTACTAATACGACGCAAACCAAAGAACAACTTCAGAAGTTTATAGAAAACGACTTTAGAGATTACGGTAACTTTAGGTATGTCCATGTTGTCATGCCGGATAGCAATCATGCCGTTCTGGAGATTGGAATGCGTTCTTCCACGTCACCGATTCTTTTCATGGCACTCTCTCCTATTGGAAACGAATTGTCCAGAGGAAATCTTGGGGGCGTCAAAGTCAACAAAAAACAGAACAGAGTCACCATCGACATACAATCTTTAACGCGAAAAATATTCGAAGTGAGTTTCATTAAGTATGTTCCAAGCTGTGTCGAAGCAGATCTTACGGATACCAACAGTTCGCATTACAAAGAACTCGGCCAAAAATTTACCCAGTTTATAGACACCAATATGAAAGCTCATTCACTCAACAGTAAATTTTACTTGAGTAATGAGGTGACCAAAGTGGAATGTAAAAACTCCACATCAGTCAAGGGCTATAGCTACGTATACATGAAACCCAGCACTGAAGATAAGATAGCGAATTTAAACGGGGCTTTGTACAAGTGTAACACAGAGCCAGGAATCTACGACAATGGGTTGAAAATATCTCTTAGGACTCCAACAACGCCAGAGGCGAAGGGAACGTGGTCTTGGTCTTTGGCCGGCGTGTCGTTGACTCGTGGCTCCTGTTTAAGGCCAAAGCCGACAAACCCGACGAATGGACCTGCACCAACTACCAGAGGTACAACAACAGGCAGACCAAGTACTGCCCAAACCAACAGCAAACCAACTACTGCCCAAACAACAGGCAAGCCGAGTATTACCCAAACCACTGGTAAACCAACTACAGCTCAAACCACAGGCACGCGAACAACCGAAATCATACTTCCCACGTTAACCTCACAAACAGAGTTATACGCCAAGGTGAAGCTCGGAATGACCTGGGAAGAATTTTGCTCAAAGCAGGATTCTTTCAAGGAGATCATTGCGTGGAACGTTCGCGATAAAAACGACTCCAGGGTCTCTCCCGACAGAATAATCTATGTCAACGTAAAGCGAAACTGTGTGGACCCAAGTAAAAAGAAGACACAGGCCGAGGTGTGGTTTTACGTGTCTGAGCCTGACTCCAGTCAGAACAACGAGTATCTTACTTTCAAGGTTTACAGCCTCTTTAAAATGTTCTTTGAGAATGGTAACACCAAACAGCTGGGATCGGAGTTTCAAGAAAAGGTAATCCTTGAGGAGATTTTACTATTTTTGAAGACGAAAAGCTGTGTCCACGAAAGGAACCAAAGCAAAAATCTCAAGTTTATAAGCTGACTCAAAACCCCCCCTCCCCCACCTGCAGGTTGTCGTCTTAAAACTTGGTTTGTTATCTACAGGCTGAAGGTTGGTGATGGCTCTTGGAGTGGAGCATTGCCGTTTCCAGCGTTATATTCTGTGATCCTCTTTCCCCAAAAAACATCAGGAATGGTCTTGACTATACTAGCGAGGCTCCAACTATCTCTTACTATTCTTATTTTTGTGTTATGTTACAGGTTTTGCATGTAGAGCTAGGGGGAAGTCATGCCTCTAAATACGAAAAGGACTCAGAGTGTAAATGGCCTTTGTGGCTGCTAATCCTTCTAGCTGTGGCTGGTGCCATAGGATTGTTTCTTATGATACTGGCATGTTGTTGTGTAAGTAAAGTTTTAATCATTTACCTATTCATTAGTTTAGTTCTTTATCTATTTATTTTTTCATCTATTTACTCAATTATACTATTGTTGGCCGCCTCAATCACAACTTTTCCTAAATTCTCTTAAATCTCTTAAATCGTGAAAAGCCCTCTTTTTGACATCTGACAAAGCGTTACGTAGTTCTCCAAGGTAATAGTTGTTGGAGAAAAATATTTTTTTGTGGACTTACAGTTTTTGCTTCACAGCTATTTTGCTGCGGTGGAAGACGGCGTAGGAGAAGGCGGGAGTATGATGCAGATCAGCCTCAAGCACTTGTAGTTGTCCACGTTGATAGCAATGGGTCTGTGCGCTATCAACAGAAAAATGGGAAGCACAACAACTCTGAATTCGATACGACGAAATCGCAAGATGATGATGGTAAACACCTGAAGGACGATAGCGAGAAAGAGGGATATTACAATGGTGGGTTCGATTGTGATTCGAAAAACAAGGTAAATAGTCTTGCAAAACGTACACTGGAACTCTGCGACTGTAGTTACCAAGCTCCTACTGCCGGTCAGAGGCTACATAGGGTTCTGATCCCTTGAGATTGTAACGAATTAAACTTAGGATAGATGTAAACTTTGCGCCCAAAGCTCAACAATCTAGCAAGCATCACTAGACAGCAGTAACAACAAAGATGTTGAAACATTTTTCTAAGCATGTATTACGACAAATGCCGTAGTTGATATTGTTTGCCACTTGTTTTACATTTTTTTTTTCTTATTCATTTTGTTTGTTTGTTCGTGTTTAAACGGTACAAGATCTTACTTTGATTGATCTTGTTAAGCCTAGAAGAACTTAGTCAGTAACCAAGCAGAACAGCAGAAATTGCACATGCAAACGATACAGGGAACAACAGTATATCCAGCGACCAGTTCATGACTTAATGTTACCAAAAGGCGACTTTGAAACATTCGAGCATGTAGTCATGGCGTAGTGAAGCATAAGCAGAGCCCCTGATTTATTCCTACAGTTAATTGAACATAAATCACCCTCTTCATTTATAAGAATGAAAGTAAGATGGAAAACGAAAACAAAGAAATACTTAAAAAAATAGTAAATCTTTGTCCTTTGCTTCGGAATAACACAGAATTACGACGGGAATGACAACCGCTCCAGCGATGAAAGAAACGAAGGCAAATCACCACAAAGTAAAACCAAAAGCCTCAGTGATGGCTCTGGAAATACTTACCAATCCTTGAGCAACACTGATAGTGTAGGTGATTACACCTACCAAGCGATTGGAGAGTCCGGGAGAACAACAACAAGCCAAAGTGATAACGACAAAAACAACAACGCAAGCGCAACAATGGCTCATTTATCCTCTGACACTAACCAAGTCCTCAGAAATGGTGAAAGTGGTTCTTCAGATATCAATTCTCGGAAAGCTGGTAACAACACAGCACGTGCAGCTATAGTGATTGCTCCTCCTTCAATCGGAGGCGATAAGGTCATAGCGAAAGGGGGCGATGCTTTAGATCTCAGTTCACGGCGAGCTGGAACCAAAGCAGCGCATGGGGTTGCAGTAACTGCATCTCCTTCCACCAGAGGTGAGAAGGTCATAGCGAAAGGTGGCGATGGAAAAGATGAAAGTGAGGGTTCTTTAGATCTCATTTCTCGACGAGCAGGTAGCTACACGTACGCAGCGCATGTTACTACAGTTACTACCACTTCCACTGGAGGTGATGAAGTTACAGCGAGTGGTGGCGATGGAAAGGGGAAAAGCGATGTTTCTCCAGATCTCTATACTCGGCGAGCAGACAGTTACATGTACTCAGCGCATGTTACTACAGTTAGTTCCACTTCCACCGGTGGTGATAAACGTACAGGACGAGGTGGCAAGGGATCGAATAAAAGTAGCGGTTCGTCAGATCACAATTCCTCTCGCGTTGGTAACAAGAAGGTTAGAAAAATAGCGAATTCATCTACATTATGCAACATTCACCGACACCCAGGAACGATACCGTCAGAGCTTGCAATGCTTAGTGTTAGTTTTAGTTTCTGAAGTGAGTTGATAATGTTTTTCTTTTGGCCTTGCACGTACAACAAATTCTTTAAATAAGTCCCTTTTCGATCGTAATTGATCCCACTTTTACATCTATTGCCTAGAATGTTTTAACTACTGAAACAAAAGCATTTTGTAGAATTCAAATAAAAGAAGGAAAATGATATAGAGAAAACGCTACATTCCTTTCAGGACATTACGCCGTTGGTAAACACGAGTGCTCCTCTAACAGGTGGTGGAAGTAGGGGGACCGGGGCAAATGCAGGTAATAAGGATGCCGATGGTTTTTCTTCCCGGGCTGATGAAAATGGAGAGGTAAGGAAAATTAAATCAGAATGTGTTATGAATTACGGCTCTTGTCATTTTCCAGGACTGATTGGCCAACCCTTCTGCGTCGAACAGTAAAATACAAAGCCATAAGAACTTGAAAGAAATTTAAACATAACTAATAATACCGCCTTCATTAAAAAAAAAAAAAAAATTAAAATCATCTTTCAATTACATTTCAGCTGCCTGTTTCATTATTCTTCTTCACGTTATTTTTGAACAGTGTCAAGACAGCTATAATGGGTCCAAGGCCAGTCCGACTTCGTTTCTTAAAACAGACACCAGTCCAAAAGACGGTGCTAGGAGAGGCTCACGTGTTCGTTCATCCATGGATGAAGATGTACCGCTGACTCATAAAACGGGAACCGTCGGTATTGTGGCTCTGGCTCTCAGGAACAAAAATGAGACGAAGAAGGAGAGAGAATTTAAGGTAAGACATAAAAGATGCAGAATATGACCACTAATCGAATTTATAAAGTGATTTATTTCGAGCCTCTCCTCTCCAGAACCTGGACAAGGACGTTCCCAAGGAGGAAGTGAAGTATCCCCCGGATACTACCAATAAAAACAGATCACCAGAGGTCCTGCCAGGTGAGTTAAGTATTCAGCGCTTTTTCTCCTCATTGCAGTTATCGTGAATAACCTCTCGTTTGGAATGATATCTTTTGTAGCACCAAGAACTCGTGTGAAGTTATGCTCTTCTCCAGACTATATCAACGCTAACTGGATCAGGGTAAGAATCAGTGACTTATAACTCATTAGAATTCCGGGAATATGAGTCGATTGAATATCGATTAATCATTAGTACATGTCGATTATTGTGGCGGAAGCAAGAAAATGTTTTAGAGGAGTGTGACATGCGAATGTGACTGTCTTTTAATTTTGAAATAGTCTGGCTGACTTTTTATTCCTTTTTGGTCACTGTTCACTTCATTTTCTTAATTCCTTTCCTTGAAGGACCACAAAGGGCAAGTCTGCTACATTGCTACACAACATCCTATGACAGAAACTGTTAGGGATTTTTGGCAAATGGTGTGGGACCAAAGAGTTCAAACGGTTGTTATGGTGAACGACGAAGAGAAAGAGAAACCGGTGAGACTGATTTTTTTCTCACAAAGACCCAAATCAGGTTTTTCATTTGTTACGTCAGTTTCAACAATTGAACAGTTTTAACCGGTGTATTTCACGTGCAATATATAGTGCCTAATCAAATGGCCATATTCACCATTTGAGATCACAGAAGTACACTACCGACTCTCTCCGTATCGGATTTGTGTTAACAATATTTCGCTTTTTTTATATCCTCCTTAGGCTGAATTTGTGGATTATATTCCGAAAGGAGAAGGGACCTCCAGGCAATTTGGCGGCTTCAGCGTTACAGTTAAACAAATAACAGAAAAACCGGATTTTTTCATGACTGTTTTGAGCATTACCGAAGGCAAGGTAAGAAAACCTTTTTTATTTAGTATTTTTTCCTTTTCCCAATAATAATTTTATGTTCCCGTTGCACAGTGTCCAAGAGATGGCTTATTGAACACGAAATTTGCTTTTGAACTTTTGTTGTCTATCCACGTTATAGAATGCTGCCTCCTCGCGCGAGGTTACGCACTTGAAATTCACTTCGTGGAAAGAACGAGCCATGCCTAACGTGGCTCTGTTTGTTGGGTTCGTGACTGCCACACAGGAAGCGAGGAAGAAGTATGGTGGCACTAAGGTTCCAACTCTTGTGCACTGCAGGTTGGTATTGGTAATGACGTGAAATTCAACCATAATGATCAATTAGCTTTTTGTTGTTTGGAAAATAACTTAGAGGCACACATAGGAAACTACTTTGAGGATCTGTCGACTTTTGGTGGAAAACAAGATGACTTAAACGGTTTGTCCGCGCACCTGACAATTGCAACCAGAGCGAACAGTATTCACATGCACTTGCTCAAGTTTGAGATGCTTTGCGCTTTTCAATTTAGGATCGTAAAGACCGGTAACCAAAATAATCTAGGTGACCAGTTATGACATAGAAAAACATTGCAAAGGACACAACGAACTTAAAGTGAATACACTTAAACGTACAAAGGCGCAAGATTCAAATGCGAGTAACCTGTTTACGATCGTATCAAAATTTGGGTTTGTCACCAGGTGGTTACATGAAAAAATATTTGAAAATACAAATTAAGTTACACTGCTGGTTAAAAGCGTTTCTGAAATTAGTAACAATAAAAATGTTAGATTGCTTTTACTTATGAATATGATCCCCTTGTTTTCGGGACCACCAAGAGATCGAAGTGAAACAAAACCTATGCGATTTCGCATTTCTTTCAGCAGTCATTTAGAAATTAGTCTTGACTATTGGCACCAAACTAAACGTTATTTATTGTTCCTGCAGTGATGGCCTGGGCTTCACTGGTGTGTATATTGCTGTGGATATCGGTGTTAAAAGTCACAAAGAAAGTAAAACATCAGTTGTTGACGTATTTGAGTTGTCCAAGAACCTTAGACGTGATCGCCATGGCATTGTTTGTACCTTAGAGCACTATAACTTCATTTACCAGGTAAGAGAAACTACTTCAAAGCTTTTGTTGGTAGTTATTGTGGAGAATGATAAAAGTGAAATACCCTTTTAAAAGCTGGGTTACCGTGAGAGTTGTGATCGTTCTCTGGAGTTCTTTACAGCGAGGCATTATGCTCTTACTTCACTTGTCTTCGAGCAGGAGCGTAAATAGATACAATACTAGCAAAGTGGCAAATTTAGGAGAATTATCTTTGTGCTTTTCTTTTTTGTGTCGTTAGTCTACAGAATACTTTAGTAGCAACAAGAAATGGGAAAGTCTAACTAATGATACTTTATGAAGTGCAGATTGTGAGCATAATTTTCAAATTACGTAAGGACAGTGTGTGGGAACAATATTGCGAGATACAAGTATGCTGTTAAAGGTAATGAACGCATTTTATTCATATTTTAATTTATTTTTAGGCTCTCTACGAGTACACTGTGAACTACGACAAATCGGCTGAGGTAAGCTTTGTTGCTATCCTGCCAACGGGTGCCAATTAACATAACAGTCGGTTGTAAGACTTACCGAAAGGGCATTAAAAAAAATTACACCGGTCCCTTCGAAAGAGAAACAATGTTTTATTGACACTGAGAAATTGTGTGTGATGTGTTGTCAGGAGTTTTAAGTCATTTAACAAGTCCCTTCTGTCATAATCTAGGGAGAGCGGTTTCAGAAAGGTTTAACAGCCTTTAATTTCAAATTTCTTCGATTTTATTTAATTTATTTTAATTTTTTGGTCCAAGATGAGTTTCCGACTAATGGTTTGTTTTCATTTTTTCTTATTATAGTAAAACTTTGCCTCTGAAGGATTTGGTTGGAAAAGGACTGAAAACTATTAGTTTCATCCTCCAAACTGACGCTAAAGTTACATATAAGGATAGACAAATACACGGTAGCATTCAATCTAGAGAGTGCCATTTCCGTATTTTCTTTTTTATTTGAGGCATGGATCGCCTTAATTGCACATAACAACTGCTGTATAAGTTGTATTGGTTTTTTTTTTGTTTTCTTTTTTTGTTTTTTTAACCTCCACGAAGAACCATGAAATAGTTTTTAGAAATACTTATAACTCGATGACTCGCGAGAGTTTGTTCGCAAGTGACAAGGTCACTCGTGTCACATTATTTTTATTCTTTTTTTCTTTTTAATATATGCAGTATTTTTGTCATTTAGTTGGCTTTGCTATAAGGCAGCAGGACATGTATATAGAAAATATTATGGATATATCAACAAAGTTGAGATGGTAAATTGGCCACCGTAACGATTACAAAAGCTGACGTTCAAAAGCTGACGTTTCGAGCGTTAGCCCTTCGTCGGAGCTAACGCCAATATCCAAATTATTTCGTTACCCCCACAGCCCTAAACAGTTTCTTTAGAAACTATCAGCCTTTATATAAAAAAAAAAACTTTATGATTAACGATTTAAGCCACGCGGTCAACGGTCTTTTCATACCGCGCATTTTGTATTTCCGTTGATGAGTTTCTCTTTACTGCTTTACTGCTCAAAAAAACCTCAAAAACTGCATTATACAAATCTGCGATGTTACAAGAAGTTCCTGGAGTTATGCTACGTGAAAGCTCGATTACTTCGAGGCGTAGTGATCGCAGAGTAAATAATTCATGAAATAAGAGTTGCTGTTGTCGAGAAACTTTTCGCTTTGTACACGTCATGACATCATTAAGGCGAGGTTGATTATGCTTGTAAATAGTAATTTTTTTTTTCAATAAACCTTTTTCGATAGCGAATCTTTGAGTTGTTTTTTATGCCTTTCTAACCCAATTTACCCCTTTGCTTTCTGTGTTGGACTTCTAAGTCGAGTTGTGTACGTCCCTAATTTCAATTAAATGTGCCGGCGGAACAAATATTTACAAATGATTGGCACCCCGACAGAAACAAGACTACTCGATACTTCTAGGTCGGCCTTTCATTAACGTGCCTGGACAGAACTTAAATTCCAACCGCGTTTCCGTCTTTGAGGTTATTACAATAAGCAGGATTACTGTCAAAGCTCTACATGTATGCATTAGTTAAGACTGTTTTTGTTTTTTTTTTGTTTTTTTCTGTTTATGGTAGCCATGTAGTCTTCTCCAGGGTTTAATTTAGAAATCAACGTAATGATGGTGGGGGAGGAAAAAGAGGGAACGTTGTTATGACGACCTCTAAACCACACGCTTCCCTCTCATTTTACACTCGGCGCCACAAACAGGCTAACTTAGATGTCTGATACAGAAGAAACATCTAACGCAAAGGGAAACTAACTTTAATTTATGAAGTGGAAGGTAAGGGGAATAAGTCAGGTTGAGAAACAAGCTGTAGGAAATGGGCTGAAAAATCTAAACTTTTTACCCTCAGGCACTTTACACGGTTTTCTGTCCTGCTGGAAATCTCTCGGCCTTATGTTGCTGGTGCAAAGCTGGCTGCCAAAGAAATGCAAAGCAAAATTAATTTTTCACCCGTGTGTTAAAAGGTTGGTCCATCCGCAACCTTTCAGAAGAGTATTTTCACACAGATCAATTATCGCACCCACAATGCCACGGGTTGCTTTAGTAAACAGAACACTATAAATAATTATGCAGTCGATTGTTTCTGTTAAAGCAAAGTAAACTCGTTTTCTCTGGTAAAAAGTGTAGGCACTCCAGCTTTCGCACCCCGAGAGCTTGCAAAAGGGACGAAACTCTTGAAGAAAAGAGGAAGTCTAAAGTTGCTGCGAGGTAAGATATCTTGGTGTGACTTATGAGCAGAATAAGAGAAAGATTGGTGTTAAGATTTGTTAAAGTAAACTTGTGTCATTTTTAATTAAAATGTTGTGTAATCTTTTTCTTGTCTGAGTTATCTTAGATGAGCAGTTTTGTAATGTAAAACTTCAATTCCTGCTGTTTTTCAAATGTTTAGGCCTCGAGAGGCGTTCATTATTACAAAATCATGCTGTGTCTCACACAAAGTACTTTAAATCCTGTTGCAGCTCTCTTGTTTTCTATCATGGCGGTGTGGTTTTCGAGGCAACCCAGCTATTCAATTGAAACCATGTTGAAGTTGATTTTTTTCGTCTTTACTGCTGTTTTTATGGTCAACGTCCAAGGTAAGTACAAATACGTTGAACGAAAAAAGTCAAACTGATTCAGTAGTTTTAGTTTACATTTCTTTCGCGACCAAGATCTACCTCTGTTCTTGTTGCCTGGACAAGGACGGAAAACTAACGTAAACTTGAGAAAAACAAAACAATGGAAGACAAACAACCGGTGAATAGTTGAGACAGGAAAAGCTTAAGCTTTTGTTGAGGACATTCTAGAACTTCGCTAACTTCTCAAAAGTCATATTTTTAGATAATATAGATGTATAGAGATGCATATATATATATTTTTTTATCTGTTTGCCGCTCAGTCGTTCTAAGAGGCAATTGCATGGTTGCCTATTTTTGCCATGTTCCCAACCATACTTCAGTTTGTATTTTATATTGAACAGTAAAAGCTGTTTACAAATTTTAGGAGGAGGGGATGTTTATTGACAACTGAACAATGGCAATATGTTTAGCCAGAAATTGTGGTTATTGCGGAGAAATGTATTGCGCAGTTCAAAACCTCACGTAAAACGAGTTTGGTGCCTCGGTGGTAAAAAAAAAAAGGTGCTATTACTTTCAACAGAAAGATAACTTCACTCGTTAAAACCCTTATCGATGTTCTTATTAATTTATTCCAGGAGTTTCTTGTCGTAGCATTAGCGAATGGTAATTTTCGAGACTCCCACGACGTTGAGACGTTAAGTCGTTTGTTTAGAATTACGATTCATGTTTTTCTCATGAGTTCATCGTTTACCTTATCTTGTACATGAAAGTAACTTCAAAAGATAACAATTATTACACAGAACACAAAATTTTGTCGCTCACGACGATACCTCTGAGCTCCTCCACCTCCTTTGCTCTAAAAGGACAAAGTTCAAACTTTGAAAACATTGAAAGAAATGCGCAATTACGAGAACGAAATAAAGAGCCCTACTGCCGAGGACTTCAACAGTTGTCAATGCTATTTTGTACAAATGCGTTGAGGTTTGAAGCTTGTCAGTGATAACTTTTAATTGACACTTGGGTAAAAAGGATAGCTTGGAGTTTAAAGGAAATCGCAGTGTTTCTTTCTGTGCACTAGAGTTCTCTAAACTTTTCTAACAGCAGCTAAACCATAGAGGGTCTTACAAGACCCTGCAGCGAGAGCATTCTTATGCCAAATTTTCGATAATTCTAGAACCGAGATATTTTTAGTTTTAGGTGCTTTCTTATTTTACTGTCCGTGTTTATATTTGTGTTTGATGACGTATTTAACTGAAGTGTGTTTAAGTTGCTCTATGATGTAAATTCTTGCGTGCGTTTTGTTCCAATTATGTTAATATTTTACTACATTTGTAGTTTCCTCTATGAGTTCTAGTTACTTCTAAAGGAGTTCGGTTACTTTCTTTACGTCATTAAAAAGAAAAGAACAACAAAAAAACGAGAAAGGAGCAACTTTGTCAGAAAACAAAAGTTCAGAGCTATCTTAAAGTATGTCCAGGATTCAGGAAAGTTTGCGCCCCCAAAATAAACGAAAACCGTCAAATTCCGGTTATAAGCCCTGGGCTCATATACCTTCGAAAGGGGTTTTGAGTGGGCTTATAAACCGAGGGGCTTATATCAGGGGGGGGGGGGGAGAGGCTCTTAAGCGGAATGAAAAAAGCGTTTTGAAATAAGCCACAGCAGTGTCGATGGAATAAGTTTATAATTTACCAATTTTTAATTAAACTTTCAAGCCTCATTAAAATGAAATCGAATACAATTCAATGTTAGGAGCAAAATCAAAACTTAACAACGCGTGAACGTAACCGGAACGCAACAAACTGGAAGCTCAGAGTTCATCTTCGCTGTCCTTATTAACAATTCTATTTCACGGCGGCGAGGCTTCCTGCCCTTAATTTAAGAAAACAAGGACAACTGGAGGAGGGATAATACCCGTGGGGGGGGGAGGGACTCATAACTGGATGAATATTTTTATTTCCAAGTAGATGGGCCTATAACCTGTGAGGGCTTCTAAGCGGGGAACTTATAACCGGAATTTTACGGTATTGAGAATTCTGGGCCTTCGGGTGGATTAAAAGGCAATGCCGTTGCAATGGTAACTCATTGATGAAGTTATTGTCACACACTATTTTCTCCTTATAACATACTCACCATCAATGAACACTTACAACATTACCTTCATCCTGGTTCAAGTAATCTGTTCGAGGGAATCAGCAAAAGATGGGGTGAAATATGGGACAAAATTTGAGGGAGGACTAAGAAGGAAATTCGATCGTCTCTTCCCTTCGCCCCACATTCGTCACTCCTTATTACGCTCTTTTAAATGCGCGCCTGTTTTTCTTTTATTTTCACCGCTGACCGGAAGAGTGACACAGGCTGGGTATTATTTGGTATAATTTATGGCACTAGAAGAAAAAAAACCATGATGCAAACTTAGATTTGTCTCTTCATTTCATCTTATGCAGCTGCCGCCGTAGCCACGTCCCCAACGCCAACAACAAATGTCACGTCAACAACTGTTCACTCCACTTCTTCCATGGAAACATCTGCCACTATAATCCCAACGCCAACAACAAATTGCACGTCAACAACTGTTCACTCCACTTCTTCCATGAAAACAGCTGACACCATAATCCCAACGCTAACAACAAGTGTCACGTCATCAACAGTCATTTCCTCTTCTCCCACGGAAAATCATAACTTCACTGCGTTTCAAGTGATGATTGAATTCTTAGATATCACTTGGAATGATAAATTTCTAGATGAATCAACTGTTGAATACACTACGCTGGAATCTAACGTGACCAAGGCTTTAAAGGATGCGCTCAGGTTTGAAGATATAAACTCTACTGTCCACGTCATCGAGTTCAAACCCGGAAGCGTGTTAGGGTTTTTCAATATCACAGCAACGAAACCAGAAACAGAAGTAAAGAACGCACTTGCAACGCAAATGGAGAACGGTACCATTGGTACTTTTAATGTATCAAAGACGCTGTTTTCTGAGCGCGTTTTTGATGTTGTCATTAAACTTAAGAAAGAATGCAATGACACGCATCCGTGTGTGGAAAGTCTGAAAGATGAAGTCGAAAAGGCGTTACCAGGGAACGAAACGGCAACATTACAGAAGGTCACATGCCCAAAACCTAACAACGTCACTATAGTAACCTTTCGCCTGCAGGTAGAAGATACTTCTTCGTATAATCCCGACAAGGAACTTCAATGTTTGAAAGCGACTGTTGAGAATGGCCAACTAAGAAATTTTTCGTTAATCCCAGAGTGGCAAGCTTACATTCCTGGGGAGAAACAGTTTTCGGTTTCTTTTGATCTAACCGAAGCTTCTAATAATACGAGGTTTACAATCAAGCAACTAGAAGGAGCTATCAAGGATATTTTCAAAAATGACAATAACTACAGATACGTTACAGTTGATTTGCTGAGTGACAATAAAACGGTAGTTCTTAAAGTCGGTATGAAGACAGTCGCCATCGATGAACCAAAAGCAGTAGTGAAGCCACTGGAACCACTAAGCGAAAAAGTCAAAAGGGGTACAATTGGAAACACATCAGTGGTAAAAGACTCGTTTGAAGCCTCCGTCAATCCCAGCACTCTGATACAAAAAGTGTTTAAAGTGGAATTTCGACTTAATATGTCCGACTGCGACTCGAACAGTCCTGACAGGGCTTCCAAAGTCAAAGATTATCTACACAGTAGACTGAAAAAGTACAAATATTTCATTAAAGCTGAATTCCTGCCTAATGATCTCAAGTGTGTAAATGGGTCTCGTTACCAAAAACAGCTCTTTGTACATGGAGCCTTTTTAGTGTATGTACTTCCGTCTGCTTCAGAATTACGCAGCCAGTTCAACCCTTACTTAATCGAGTGCGGGAGAAATGCAGAAGGAGCAACTTATGATTGGGGAGTAAGAGTCACCCCTCAAACACCAACCCCAACCCAAACCAAATTTGGACAAACTATTCGCATGGTCTGCGTCAGTAAACACTATCCTAAACCCACGTCAGAGCCCACAGCAACCATCACTGAGACAAAAGGGCCAACATTTTCGACTTCTCGCAGCACAGAAGAACCAGTGTTAAATCCTAGTCTTTACGTCAAAGTGAGACTGGGTATTACCTGGGGAGAGTTTTGTTCCAAGTTGGAGCACAGTCTGAAACAAAAAATAGCTTGGAACTTATTCGACAAGAACGGTACGAGAATATCTCCCGACAGGATCGTCTTCACCAACGTCGAGAAAAACTGCGCTGATCCAAGTAAGAAGGACGAGCAGGCAGAAGTGTGGTTCTATGTTTCTAAAGTCGACTCCAATAAGCTTCACAAATGTCTCACATTGAAGGCTTATAAAGTGTTGAAAATGTTCGTGGATTATGGAAGTACCACGCTTCTTGGACCAGATTTTGAAGGAAAGGTAAAACTTATTTTACTTTGTCATTTACTTTCGAATTTTTTTTTTCTTCTTTTTCTGCCTGTCTTTTAGTTTGTCTCAATTTCTGCCCGTCCATGACTTCTTTCGTTTACCCCCGCCCCCCCNTGTCTATTTCACCAACATTCTGTCTGTCGGTCCTTCCATTAACTTGTTTCTCTTCTTTTAAATCGCTTCCTCTGAGTGTCAGATATGAAGTTAGTCAATCGTGAAGTGACCACGCAACTCTGAGACCACCAGTCTTAATTTTAAGAGGTGATAATCTTGTTTCATACTATTCAAGGTTATCCATGTGGATCTGGCAGGCGAAGGTGCTTCTAAACACAAATCTACGTACGATTCTGGTGATCTTTCAATACTGGCCATTATTCTTATTGCCGTCGCAGGCGCCGTTGGTCTTGTCTTATTGACAGTAGCATGCTGTTGTGTAAGTATATTAGGCACCATTTTCAGTTACATTAACCGGGAAGATGAAAATTGAGACACGAGAGCGAAAATCCTAGAAATATCTGAAAAAATAAGCTCGAAATAATAGGCAGGAGTATAAAGAAAGGAGACAGGGGAGACTGCTGACTAAGAAAAGGAATGAATAAATATGAAACGGGAATGGAAATGCAAAAGAACAGAAGAAAAAGTGAACGAGGCAGTGACAGGTTATCGATGGGGCAAGAGTATGAAATTGGCCAAGTGCCCTATCCTTCTGATGAGCCGGCAGAACATATTTTGCTGATCTTGATACCCCAGTAACAAACTATTAACCAGATTTTTATTTGTCTTGTTTCTCAGCTTTTCTGTTGTGCAGCAAAAAGGCGAAGAAAACAGGAAGAAGAAGAGACTCACCCAATGCAAGTCCTAATTGGCGCGAATGGTGTAGATTCCCGTGGCAATATGGGAAGAAACAATGAAGAGGACGATAAAAAGAAAAAGAGAGAAGACAAAAAGGAAAGGAAGAAAAAAGTCAAAGAGAAAAAGAAAGACGAAACTGATATTGAAGACAAAGATACTCATGGCAAAGAAAAGGAGGTATGCAATGATTAGTTTTTAAACCTCTGAACATAAAACCTACACCTTCCATCCAGCTTTGTTGAGTTCGATTTTTGTCATTTCTTTCTGCTTCAAAAGATTATTTAGGACTGACTCTTTACTTTTCTTATATTCTTCTACTTGATGTGCAGGTGCGAGTGCCAAGCGACACTACCTCCGCTGTAGTAGAACGTTCACACACGCACACACACACACACTTAAATACCCTTTTAATTAAAAGTTAACCATTGACTACGATTGCTGCAAATACAGGCAGTTTAGGTGGAAGTATTTTTGCTTTAAAATCTAAACTACTGCCGTATCCGGCTTCACAAAACCAGTCAGAATTTTCAATCTGCTCGTATGTTATAATTTGGATGTATCAACAAAGTCTAAATGGTAAATTGTCCACCGTAACGATTACAAAAGCTGACGTTTCGAGCGTTAGCCCTTCGTCTGAGCGAATGACGACGAAGGGCTAACGCTCAAAACGTCAGCATTTGTAATCGTTACGGTGGCCAATTTACCATTTCAACTTTGTTGATATATCCAACTTATTTCGTTACCCTCACCAACGCAGCCCCAAACAGTTTCTTTAGAAACTATCAGCCTTTGCTCGTATGTTAACCTAGTTGAAAAAAGTTGCGTTTCGTTTCGTTTCGTTTCGCTGACTGTTTAATTTAAGAATTAGTGCCACTTGTTTCTTTAACGCAACCATCACTTCTCCTTCAACAATTATCTATATGTGGTGAAAAATTTTTGCCAAACCTGGTCTTTTATCTTTAGAAGCCGTTTTCATCATTTCCATACTTCACATCCATCCGATAGCAATATTTCGGACCTATGTCTTTTTCAGAACCTTAGCAAAGACGTACCTGAAGAGGAAGTGAGCTATCCAGCCAGCACTCAAAGCAAAAACAGATCGCCTGATGTACTGCCAGGTAAGGATTCTCGAGCTTTACCACGACAATGTAGTAATTTTTTCTTTATTCAGTTGGTCCCTAAATCTGCGCTAATTGACTTCTTTTTCAGCTCCTAAGACTAGAGTAAAGTTATCTTCAAACCCAGATTACATCAATGCTAACTGGATCAGGGTAATTGCTATCGCTGTATTTATAGATTTATTACAAAGTTTTGCTTAATCTCACCTGTCAGCGAAAAATAGGTGACAAAATACTCTTTTGCTTTTCTGAACAGGATCACAAGGGTCAGCGGTGTTACATCGCCACCCAACATCCTTTGTATGAAACAGCGGAAGATTTCTGGCGAATGGTTTGGGAGCAAGAGTCTCGATTAGTTGTCATGGTAAACGAGGAAGAGAAAGAAAAACCGGTACTTTGCCTTTTTTTTTCTTTTTTGTTGTTTTAATTTGTCTCGCCCTTAAGAGTGACTAGCATCTAATTTCTCCTTACGATATCACCCCTAAATCACAAAGTAAGATCGGGAGAATTAAGGAAATGATCAATAACAAAAAAATCCCTTGATTGACAAACAAATTCTCTTTGTCAGCACCTTAGGAAATGTATAGAGAACAGTACAGAGAATGTGCATGTTGATGGTAGGGTATAAAGGGTTAAGATTTGTTATTACCGTTTCTTCTTGTGTTATTGTTGCTCTTCAGGCCGAATTCATGGATTACTTACCAAAGGGAGAAGGAAATACAAAGAGCTTTGGTTGCATTGAAGTTACAGTCAAGCAAATCATGAAGAAAGCAGATTACACCATAAGTACTTTGAACATAGCAGACAGCAAGGTGATTATGGTTGTCATTGTAGATCATAGAGTCCTATAAGCTTAGAGCCCTTCTCTGGAAAAATTTGTTGTCATCTTACACATGCTATAGTGTTTCCATCATACGCGGTACGTTGTTGTGTGGATAATCTGATATGGTGTGTACAGAAACAGGTGGAGTACGAAAATCACATGCACCCCTAAATTATTTAATTCTTTACAATTTGACATGCATTGACTGGTGTGAGCGTTGAAACATGAATTTCTTGTAATGTCCTTTTAATTTATGGTGTTCTGTGAAGATGGTGTGATGCGCACCATATGGATATTCGATTAATTTGTAAATATTTATACCTCTCTTTATTAGAGACTTCATGAAAATAATTTTGAGAATGAGTGGCTCGGCGAAGTCATGACTCAGATGACTTATGAGTCAGTGAGTAAGTATTCTGTTGTTGATATTCCTATTTATTTTTCATTACAGAAACCATCTTCCGCACGCGAGGTGTCGTACATGAAATTCACCTCATGGAAGGAGCGTGCATTGCCCAATGTGGCTCTGTTTGTTGGGTTCGTGACTGCCACACGAGAAGCAAGCAAGAAATACAGCAGCACCAAAGCTCCAACCATTGTACATTGCAGGTCTGTGTTAGCGTGCAGGTTACAAACAACACACTGTAACTTTCTACCTTATTTGTTTCTCTCGTTTTCTACCCAGGCTAAAAGTGAGGGAAAACCTTTCGCGTTGGACCTCCGATCCTTTTTGCCTGATTTTTCTCCTGCAGGTTTTTCTGTTTCCATTGAGTTCTGTGAGAGGAGTGAATAGGCGGACATAGCTTTCTCGAACACAAGGATGCATGTGGGTAACCTGCACTCAATTTGAAGTGACCTG